CATTGCTCCTCGTAGTAAGGCCAGGAGCCCCTAGTAGCGTCCTTGCTCCTAGTAGCGATGCCAGGAGCCCCTAGTAGCTTCTTATTCCTAATCGCAAACATTGATCCTAATAGTATGACCAGGAGCCCCTAGTAGCGATGATCCTAGTAGCGTTAAGACTAATGACCATCTTGCTGAGGCAAGTGTCCCTTGATAATCCCCTCTGCGGACATCTCGGTGACCATCTTTTACCAGAAGATTGTCCCTAAGCTGGAAGCCAGTTTGTTTCAAGCTGGGACACTATCCTGCACTATAAAAACTGCAGTAGAGTCCACCCTGAAAGGCAATTGACCAAGGTTTGCACCTAGCAGAGTCGAGAAGATGTGTTCATTGCGATGGTCAATGAGTAATAGGCAGCTTTGGTGGGAGAAATCCGAATATCCACTGGAACAAAGGTAGAATGAGGCCATGCAATCGGTGACCCCCCGCGCAAATTGAGCGATTAAACTCATCCTCACGGGGCTTATTGAGAAGGTCGCTACGAGCTGGGAAGCGCATGAAGACGTAGATGCTTTAAGAAAAAACCATTAAGGAATTAAGGAACCTAATAGCGATGGGCTCCACCCTAGTAGCAATGGCCCTCCAACCTACTAGAGATGGCCTCCAACCTAATAGCGATGGGCTCCACCCTAGTAGCAATTGCCTTCAACCTACTAGAGATGGCCTCCAACCTACTAGCAATGGCCTCAAGCATACTAGAGAAAAAAGGGTTGGTTCAAGTGTTTGACGATGATGGCACTATATGTGACGTATGACTCTATGACTGTGATCGAATGATCAAATGTGATGGAGATGTTATGTTCAGAGTCTTTGTGCTTTCCTAGAAGAAAAACAACAGGCCTACATTCCACTGAATTTGTGTGCTGCTTTTCTCCTTTTTTGCAGTATGATTGCCATCAGAGAAGACTGGCTTGCTGAGGTTAGTGACATCGTCATGGCAGCAGACGGCGCATCCAAAGAGGTAAGACTTTCTACCCAAAACCAGCGCGCAGTTTGGCCTTGCACGTGATGGCACGACAAAAAGGATAAGATCCAGGGCTTAAAGTTTGTTCATTTGGAAGGGGGAAGAGTGCAGAAGGACAAGTACACTCCAGGGTGAACCATACATCGCAGAACCTGCTTGTGCGACTACTACAGAACACACCATGTATGCAGGAAATACTGCAAGCCGATAAAGAGCTAGACAAGAACAAAAAAGCTGGTGGTACAGCACACTGTTCTAGTATTGAAGAGACTGCGCGCACGCGCGCACACACGCACACACACTTTAAACCTGAAGGGTGTCCCACCACCACCACCACAACAACAACAACTACTACTACTAATACTTAATTATACTATAATACTACCAATACTAACTACTTTCACAAGCCGTTGGCTGCTCCAATATGACGTTTATTTGCCAGATCGTGGCCGCCACAGTGATGCTGGCTTTGCCTTTCAATACCTTACTGATGAGCCTGGTCTTCTATTTGGTTGGACAGTTGCTTGGCTGATGGCAGCACACGACCTGTAGCAGCAATTACAATACAAGTTAAGTGACCCGATTGAAGCCTTGGAATGTAAGCTCTGACAGATATCATTTCTTGTCAGAGCTTGACATGTCAAATGGAGCTGGGTTGAGGTTTAGAACATACTAGTAGGAGCTTAAGACGTCAGCATCAATATCCTTTCGACAAGTCCTCAACACTCCAACAATGTCCATTCCGTTCATGGTTATGAGAAGGACATGGAGAGGTGATGAGTGTTTGGCCAAGCGTTTCAACTCCACAGACGTGACAAGATCCAGTACCTCCTTAGGCAGAAGTTGACGGTGGTGGTGTCTTATTTGCCCTATCCTGTGGTGGCCGGCTTTCTGGGCTCCATAGGCCATTGGATATCTTTGGATAGTCTCTTCAAGAGACGTTCGAGCTGCGATGTGAATACATCTCACTTTGAAAGCTTGAAACATGGGTAGTTGATACAAATCAGAGCGACTATATTTAATCTTCATATCGTACTCGGTCTACTAAGTCTACTCGTGGTCGATAAACCGGGTATTCTGACGGCTTGGGAAGGTCTGGCGATTTTCTTGGGCTCCTTTGCAGTGCTAAAAGAGGGCCAGAACCTCAATCTTCCTGCCTTGCTCTTGGGGCACGCTGTGTAGTTTTTGAAACATATTTCATTCGAGATTGCTTTTGGGACGACATTCCACGCAAGGACATGGTTCAATGGTTCATACTGACAGACGAGCATGTTCAAGCCGCGAGAAAGTGTAAACGACACAGAGTGCAGCCGGTACCGAGGTCTTGCTGGATTTGGTGGCATTCTGAAGGACGGTGCAAGTGATCCAGGGGGCTTAAACTTGCCAGGCGTTTGTAAAGGCATTAGTTTGGGGCCTCGCCGCTATAGAAGTTGGCAGGCCTTTTTTAGCCTACAGATTCTGGATTCTGTTTGATTACTCCAACCACCAGCTGCAAAGAGAATATAGACATGACAAATTCCTTCCTACCACTCGCTCGTTTTTGGTGTTTTCAAACCGCCAAAACATCACAGGTCGATTGAGCGGGGGTGGACGATGGGGGTTCCCCAAGTCAAAGGCTGTTTTGTTCGTATCATGAGCCTTAGCAACAGATCGATGAAGTCGTGACAAGTGCTATCGAAGACGGGATGCGCTCCGATATCCGTTTGGGCTTTTCCTTCAACACTGCGAAGCGCTTTCTTTGAGATTCTTTGTTCACTACACTGATTCCGACTCGCCTGCTCCCATTCGCATGAGCTCTGCGTCGATCTTGCATCATGAGTTTCGTTCTCTTGGCCGCGTCTTGCAACTGAAAGACCAAGCTCCCAGGTTGGCCTCTGATGAATTCGACCGAACCTTGCCTTTCGTTGGAATTGGTGATTTCTTCTGCCCTCCTTGTGTGTGGGACCCGACCAACGGTGGCCTTTGCTACTTTGCTTCTTTGCGGCCTGACAACTGTTTCCACTCACGTATGATTTGGATGTGTATTGTTGACATGACTTAGTTGTTGTGCAACTACTAGACTTTTGTGAGGCTATTGTGTTGAAGGTGGAAAATCAAAACCCCAAATCAAGTTATTGCCATGATCCTCCATAGGTTCAACGCCTCTTTGATTGGATTGCGCTTCACAGATGACCAGTTGCAGATTGTCCACGTAATTACCCTTTGTCTCTGCACCAAATTTCTGTGATTGGGCTTTGAATGGCTTCACAGCCTCTATGTTACGGTTAATCGCATCATGCTTGATACTGCTACGCCAGATACATTTTGACTCAAATGGTGCTGATGACCAAACGGTGACCCCATGTGGTGGCCGAATCCTCCAACACGTCCAGGGTCAATCAAGCCATCAATCCGATCTCTTTCTTGCAAATGACGGCATACCAATCGCTGCAAATGTGGACCTCTGTCAAATTCTAAGGCTCATGATACGAACAAAACAGCCTTTAACTTGGGGATGTGCGGTTTGGGGAGGCTCCAAGTACTTCCCTGGAAGGTATTATTCAGACATATTTAGACCCTCTAAACCCACTACACAGTCTCAAAGGGCAGGGGGAGCCCTAGGGGCTAATTCCAATATCGGATTGAGGAATCCCATCATCTCGACAACATGTGATTGATGACTTGGTGTTTGGAACACACCAAAGCGAGAAAGCCAGCGAGTGGCAGGATTGCCCTCGAAACATCCCATTTGGAGTAAGCAGAACAAGGTTCGCTAGTAGTAACAAGTGCCACGCTACTAGGAACAAGTGCATCGCTTCTAGTAACAAGTGCCTTACTACTAGTAACAAGAAGCTACTACTCCCATTTGGAGTAAGCAATCAGAATTTGTTGAAGCATCCTGCGCAGGCTGCTGAGGAACGACCATATGAACTGCTTTGCGCTGCAGGTCTGATCTGCAGGGTTTGTTTGCTTTTCACAGGTTTTTTACATGTGACCTGAACCTGCTTGTTTGCATCCTTCACCAACCTGAGGGCACCTCTTTTTCCCCAGGCATGGCAATTGGCTCCATATTGCTGAAGTATGCTGGCCTGCCAGCCCGGGCATCGTGGCTGAAGCATTGCAGTTGCATCATGTTGCATCTATATATAAAATATATATCATAATGCGATAATATCTACCCTAATAGCACCCTTGCTTTCTAATAGTAGCGATGCCCTTGTTACTAGTAGCTTCTTGTTCCTAGTAGTAAGGCCAGGAGCTACTAGTAGCGTCCTTGCTCCTATTACATTCTTTGTATGACCGCATTGGATGGTTTGATCCTCTTTGTATCATTTTTGTTCGACCATCCTTTCGTGGGCGTGGCTGTCAGTAATCATTGCGACTCGAGGTACTAGCTGTGGCGCCGACATTGTTGACCTTGGCCACTTGCTGGGTCACCGTCGCACAATGGAAATTGTCGGCCTGATCGGTCCACAAAAATGTCCCCATACTCTAAGAACCAAAGGTGTCCAGCTTTCATCAGGTTTCGTTTGGTTTCTTTGTGGAGGGTCCTCAGCAGCACACATGACGCTGTTATGCATCGTCTACCCAGGTCGTGTTCTGGTCCTATGTGATGATGTCCGGAATCTCCTTGGATGAATGGCGGCAGGACCACCGTACAATCATCCTGGCCAGTCTCCTCATGTTTCCTCCAATTGCGCAATCTACAAATCTGTAGGTTGGGTGAGTATCAGACTCTGTGTTTTTGGGTCCTTGTCATGACATGGTTTGAATCAACATGTTTGTTGCAACATCTCCAGGCCATTTTAGGGCTCTGCAGCAAAGGGCGCTTCTGCGGGATATTTGGCTAGAGGCTACGCGTACTAGGTAGACGTAGACCGGAAGCAAGGTTGCAATGCTGCCACTGGTCGGCGGAACCAATGCCACCAATGCAAAATCTCCTTGCACACGTCCCCTACTGGTACCTGCTTGCCTTTTTGACAGGAAGGTTGGCTTTTCCCGGCAGCAGACTTTGAGCCTTTCACTTCAATTTGGTCCGCAAGCCACTCAGACTGTCGCCAAGAATCAGCGTTGGGAGAAGTGTACACAACATTGGTGCGTTGTTTGCTTTCCTCACGAAAAACACGCTTTGGGGATTCGTGGCAGGAGCAGCAGCTTGCGTTGGTTTCCTGGACTGGTCAATGCAAGAGATGGTTTGTGCAGCTTTGTGCACTAGTATCGCAGTGTATTGCATTTACGTGCGTTCTCAGTCTAAGCAAATGTTGCAGCATAAACGCTGAAAGCTTGAATTATTTGCATAGCCTGGTCATGTTCCCTTGCCTAGATGTGTTGAAGTGTAGGACAACGCATGCATATATATATATATATATTGAAGTGTACAAAAGTCACTCGCCAGTACTGTGGTTCTTTGCAGGAAGTTGCTGCCTCCGAGGATAGCCACTTTCTTGGGAAGAGACCTGAGAATGTTGCACACCAAAGTGTTTTAAAAGCAGCACTCGGATTGATTCACCAATACGAACTGCTTTGTGGTTGGGATCATGTTCAGTGTTTAGACTTCTGTGAATCCCGATATCCAAGAAGCACCAGAACTGCTACTCATGTGCATCCTACACTTGTGGGACGTCAGACAACCAAGCTTTGGGCGGCCACCCATGGCCTAGACATGCTGTCCAGCAGAATTATTTTCCAACAAAGCCGTGCAATTGAAGCGGTAGAAGACTAGTGACTAGTGCCCCATGGCTGAAGGCCTTGGCTTTGTGCTGGTCTTGTCCCTCACTTTGCGCATTGCTGGCATTGAGGCTCCATTTTGTAAAGGTTTGCTGAAAGCCTTGGAGATATTGACATTTAGTCTGATGTTTGCTGTGGTCTTTGTGTCTTGAAGGGGTTCAGGGAGACACTGCAATATACTGCAATTATTGCGTCCATGATGAATGCCGCGTTTGTTTGCCTAGATGCAATTGTGCTGGCCATCAACACGTTGTTGACCAAGCAAGGAGCATACTGTATGTCCAAGATTCGCTTCGCTGTTCGGAACATACTTTGCTCGCAGTGTTGGATAGTTTGCTGCTAGCTGCTAGGGGTCGACTGGCTCAGCGATTAGCGTCGATGATGAGGCCATGCAGTTTCAGCAATCTGTTGTGCAGTTGTGCAAGTATAGTTAAGACTGTAGAGCGACCGTGGATACTTTTTGGTTGACACTGCTCTATGCAGAAATTAATGCCGAATAAAGGCTTCATCAAGCTTGGTTTGTTGCCTCCCGCAAGTCACACGTTTGGGAGGTCAAGTGGACCGGCATTGCCAGTGGTTTGGCTGGCGCATGCGGCACGGTGGTTTTCCCAGACCATGTCTACATCCTTGTCGGTTTCCGGCACCGTGGGTTGCTACGCATCACGTTGCGATATCTGATATTTGAGCCACAAGACCGTTGTTGCCACGTCGTCCTTTTTGTAAGCATGTTTGAGGTGATCGGCTCTGCTTCACCAGGCCTGACGACCTTCAACTTGGCAGCTCAGCTGATTAGATTGACTATCGTTGAGTGCAGCGTGGACTACGTGATTCACAGCTCCATTTCAAAGCCTTAATTCCAACAAACAATGCAAACAAGCCCTTGATTCTTGATTATTTTGGTTTCAACATGGTACAAAATGTTCCTTTCTGAGGAAGCGGGCAGCAGCACGGTGCAAGCAGCGGCGTGGCTTCTTAGATTGACTTGCAGAGAACTGCTCCGAAATTAAAGAAGAGAGGCCAGAAATCTTTCTGGTTCTTGCCCTTTAGGTGGGGATGTAACTCTGCAAAGGGGTTATATAATGTTATATAATAGATCAAGAATAGACGACATTAATATTAAAACATGTTGTTTCCTTGTCCCTTTCTGACAAAATGTGTTGCGTGTTGCAAGTTTGAGAGTTTATATACGTGTGATAACTAATTGACTTTTTGACTGGTTCGTCTTCAGAGTCAAAGGTGTTGACGGCGGTGCTTCAGCTGCTGCTGTGGTTAAGTGGCGCAACTTGGATCAACTAGGAAAAATGGGGAATTGAAATTTAGTTCCTAGAAGATTCTGGCTACCTAGCGCAATTTGGATACTCCTTGGTGTAGCCAATGTCCCGTTTCTTTGCATGCTTTCTTTCCTTCGAGATGGTGTACGCAACGCAAACTGTTTGGCAAGATTCCTTGTTGGGTTGAACACAGAATGAAGCAGTTAGGTCTACAGCTAACGGGGTTTGCCTACACCACCAACTACTTCCGCTTGAAAACATTTGCCCACCATCATTGCATGAGTCAAGAACGAGGACGACACATGCAAAACATGCTGTGTGGACAGCCCTCTAGTCAATTTTGTTATGGAAAGCTAAGTTTCCGGTGATGAACATGTTTCCGCGGCACGGACGCCAAGTGCCTTTAGCAGTCTGGAGCTCACCCAGATACTGTAGGATGTTTGCTTGGAGGGTTGAAGACCAGCTGTGCCACATCCTGGCATGGCTGACGTGCTTGTCTTCCTTTATTGATCTTGAGCATGATGCTAGCAATGTTATGAAGGACAATGAAGGACAGCAACAAACTTTACACGGCTGCCCAGCACGGGCAAGTTGTTTTACCTTGGAGTTTGAGGCAAGTACAATGCAGAGACAGACGTGCAAGAGTTGCTACTGTATTGCCATGTCTGGTGTGTTTGCAAGATGTTAGCCTCTACGGTCTTGAATGTTCCATGAGGAACTAGATCCAAGCTACATCTGTCGGAGGTGTTGCACTCAGGTTTCTGTTGTCAGGGATCCTCATGAACCTGGGCCTTGTGATGCTCCAGGACGAACTGCGCAATGGTGCCCGCGAGCTGCGCAAATTTCCCTGTCCATCCCGCAGCGACCCTTTTTTGCAAGGTGCAAGTTGCTTTGGCATCAAAGCTTGAAGTCTGCTGTGCTGTGGCTTGCAACTAGTGATTGGAGTTGAAATGTTAACTTGCTCCCCCATGGGATGCGCCTACCTGCACGTTACAATCAGTGAATGAACCGTAGTTCTGCTATAAAAAAACATTCTGTTCCTAGGCTTGGTTCTGCTCAATGTGTGATTGAACAGACCCGACGAATCCTCCGAAGTTCTTGTCAAGCCTGCAATCCCCAGGAGTGGATGTGGATAGCCAGACACAAGGCTTGATCAAGCGTGAGATTTGTAGTTGAGACAGGCTTTTCAGCTTCTTTTTTGGTGCTGTTTACCTGAGCTGACCAGGTAGGTATCTTGGGCCTGCTGGTCATCTACGCACAAGCGGGCACCTTGAGCTGCTCAAAATAAGACCGGACCCTGATAGCAATGGCCTCCACACTGGCAATAATCGATGGCCTCCAGTGCCAGTGATTATTTGCTGACACGTCAACCTGAGATATACAAAGTCCTTCGCTGACCGATATGATCCATGGGAGCGCATGTGGGCACTGGACACGATAAGGTGGCAAGTTCCATGATGTATGGCCTTTTGCCCAGCGTCCTTGCCTGATCCTTGGAACGCCATAGCATGTTGAACTCTGTTTCAATACCGCTCGTACATTATAGTGCTGTAGTCATAAATAGATATATCTATATACTGTATATATGTGCGTGTTATATATATATTATGTATATGTATATATCATCAGCAGACTGTATCTCAGCTTGTTTTGACTGAATTGGTGTGCTTTTGCGAAACGGAAGGATCGGCACAAAGTTCAGAACAACAAATAAGCTTGGTTGACCATGCTAAAAGAGGCAGTTTGCCTACTGCGCAAGCATTTACCCTGTTGCAGTCGAATTTGAGGTCGGAGTGGCCGTGGCATTGCTTACAGCACAGGCATCTTGCAAGTAAGACGCTCCAAGGGCAGTACAGTGTTTGTTTAACTTTGGAGATGTTCGACTGATGACTGATGTGTCGAGTCGTTGTTCATGTGATGCTTGGAGCACAGAACGTTTTCTTCACTCAACGCAGCTTTGTCATTGTCAGGCTCAGTTGATGAAGCTTCATGTTTTGAAGCTCAAGCCCTAGTTACCCTAGTTCTGGAGAGATCAAGCTTCAGGAATGAATAATAGAACAGGATGGAGGACTAGATAGAAGGACGTCATCCACTTATTGGTTCCTTGGAATACTAGTTGCCAGAGCCTTTTATCAAATTTGCCCCCCTCACAATACCACTACAGCACCCAAAAAGTAAGATCCATACTTTGGCGTCACATTTAAACGGAGCAAAGAATCACATTTGGTGTAATACATTTCGCTTTGTTGTCACATATTTCAGATATAAGTACGTATTCTATATATCGTACCTTTGTTAGTTTCCGTTCTCAAACGACATTGTATCATTGTACGGCATTGCAGGCTTGCATGCCTTTAAGATCCATGGTGCTTGTGACTCATTGTGTTAGATGTGCTCTTGAGAGGTATCATGTCTCGCGTTGCTCCGTGCGGACAAATCTGCAACGCAACAAGACTGAGCCTGGGCCCCGTCGATTGGGTGATTGCAAATCTACTGCTGTATAGCGACTAAACGAGGCAAAACGTAACTTTTTGAAAGACGTAGAAGCCGTGCAAGTGCATAGACACAATGTTTGCACGTTCTCATGCTCTCCATTTTGGGTGAATTTTGAATATCAAAGCACAGAGGGCACAGTGAACTTATTTCGAGTCCTTCGGCTCTAACAAACCTTGATGGCTAAAGCGAAAGGAGGAATAAAGAGGAGCTGGCTGGAGAAGAACCACCATTGTCCGTATGAGGCAAAGAGATGAAAGGAACGATTGCTTGGATTCTAGAGCCCCTTTCAATGCACACCAAGTTGTGTTGTTTTCAAGGTTTAGACACACATATATATATATATATACGTATATATATACATATGCCTGGCTTTGACGCTTGGTGACACCAGACAAGACTCTTGACCCTTACGCTGAATTTGGGCTCAACATGTGTGAGCTGGGTCAAGCCCATGGCAAAAGACAACTCCTTACACACATCGCTTCGGGTCAATGAAGACTTCGATGATGCATCAGTTGCTCGGATGTGATGTACTTTGGGTCTCTTTAGTGCAGCACTATAAAGAGTGTTGAAATGTATCGAACACGTTTGGGAACGCAACTGACATGCTTAAGAAGAATTCCATCTTGGCTTTTGGATGGTCCTTTATGAACGGGATTCACTGTCCAACAAGTATCCAAAGGTGCCCTAATGCTAGTGTATGACTCACCGTGAACGCTGCCTGTGACTCTTGGTTTGTATTCTCTAGATAAGCCTTGTCGCGCTCAAGGATGGTGTGAACAAAGCAGCTTTTGTGCACAAAGCGGCAGCGCACTGTGAAGAGAATGAAGATGCCCACGTCCTGTTTGAAGATCTTTGGCCGACAGCGAATTTTGCATGTGTCCGGTCTAACTTTGTTGCAAGATCAGCATTCTTGGGGATTGCATGACGTTGAGTGCAGGCTTTTGTGAAATAAAGCTGACATGGCTAGCTCGCGCATGACAGCCTATGACAGCCTACAGTGCCGGAAGTAACTATTCCCGTGTATTTTTTTCAATTGTTTTCTGGGTGAAATCATTACTGTGGCTGATCAGGAAGACATGTATGATGCTGTGACTGTGGCAGCTTTTGGCGGTGTTTGCATGGACCTTCCGCATGGCCGTATCAGAGTTCATCCGCTGGGGCTTTTGTTGCTGTGCATCCCTTTGTTTATTACACAGCAAGCTGTCATGCTATACTTGCGTTTGGGCCAGCATTTGGAAAAGCCTGTGCACGGCAAGGAGGTTGAAGGTGACGTGCAGATGATTTTGCCCTTCGCAAAGGTGTTAATGATCTACATGCTTGCATTGATGCTCTATCCAGAGCTGTTGGTATCTCTGCGCTTGATTCTATTTTTGGTGAATCCTACGACGTGGACGGACATTGACCGAGTAGATCCGGCTGATGCCCGCTGCCTTGCCTGGTGCTGGAAAACCACTTTCATAGCACCAATTGCCTTGATGAGTGAAACCTTCAAATTCTACATTGGAAACTTGGTTTAACTATTCATTCAAACAAGTATTACTATGGCATGCAATTTTCTTTAGTTGACATTCAGTTTCGGTTTGTTGCAGTGTTAATGTGCTCTGAGATTGTATCGTCACGTGGCAGGCTATGTTGTCTTAGTGGATTCCAGCAGTATTGTTCTCCTGGGCGATTCAGTCCGAGACACTCGAACTTGGATCAAGTCGTTTATACAGCCAGGGTGTTTGCTGTGAAATGCTGTTTTGCAATATCTGACAATTCTGGTTCTTGAAGCATAGGAGATGGTGCAATCTGTGGTCACTAGACTGGATTTGTGTTTTACGGCTACAATCTGACGGACTTGGTAAAATACAAGCCAGTTTGGGCACCCCCGTTCTTTTCTCTTCGCCCCCGCTCACTTTGGCGTCTTCCAAGGAGACGATTTTCAATGCATTGACTTTGTGCTTTCTGACCACGCTGGATAACAAGCTTTGGCAAGTAGCAAAAAGTGTCTTACACGTACGATTCACTCACAAGCATCTGAGCTGATGTTGGATGTGTGTTTTTTTCCACGAGTCCCAAGCTTTTTAAAGCCAAAGACCCCACCTCCCTACTTAATCAAGTAGGCACGTACTTAATTAAGGAGATCCGGTAAGCTAGTAGCCCGTTGGCTTCTAGTAACTGGACGCAGGATAACGCCCGCACCAATGACTTGGTTCCTAGATTTTCTGGGAAACTAACATGGCCGTGCTTGTCATCTGAGGACTTTCTTTCTTAGACCCAAAAAGAAGAGATTGGAAGCTGCAAGAGACCAAGCTCGAACTCTATTCTTGCTTTTGTATGTTTGTTCTTGCTTGGCTGCACCGTGGGATAATGCAATCCCTCAAAACTCAGAAGACTTAGGAAATGCTTATATTTGGGTACCACCTGAATGTTGGCTTCATCGTGATAAGGGTGCGTCTGCCTTGGAAGCTTGCATCACGTCATTTGATTGCAGAGACTATGGATGGATACACACCTACACAGGTGCTCAAACACGTCCTCCATGAAACCAACAGACTGATGTGCGAGGTTTTCTCAAGACTGTTTCTCCTTTTCAATTCTTGGAAGATCTTTGGCCAGGAATCCTATTCTAATCATGGGAATTCTTGAGAACTTGCCAAAAGCTATCCCCCTCCTATCCAAAGGCCAAAGGCGACTTTCGTCGCAAACATGTAATATTAATATATAATATAGTTATCATTCATTAAGTGTTTGATGTAACACTGCCAATCAGTTGTCAGATATGCCGCCACAGGCAGCCCAGATTAAGTCGCTTGTTTGCCCAGATACGGCAAGTGCGTATACTTTTTGGTGTGGACCTCAAGCATTTTGCACTCAGGTCACTTGTATTCATGTTTTGCTATTGCCGCCAATTCCTCGTGACTGAATATGCTCTCAGAACTGATATTCTGCCAATGGCCAGAGACATGTGCTGGGTTTGGAGTCTCACAAAGAATCTCGGGCATTGCGCAGCCTTAGCCTCGTTGTTTCCAGAATCTGTGTTTTCTGGCTCGAAGATTCAATCCAAATACTTGAATTTCCACTCAAGTGCAGAGGGGTACTGATTTTGTACATCTGAGAACCAAGTATACCAACAGTTGTTTGTCATCGGTTGGGTTTGCAAGAATGCACAGTTGCTGAACAACTTATGATATTGTTGGGACCAAGTGTTGGAAGTGATATGGATTCATGCCTTTGAGTGAGCACGGTGAGGAATGAGACGTGGATTGGCAGTGTGGTGAGAACCTTCTTGCGGTGGATGAGCTTGTACAGACATCCCAATGGCATGCTGAATCGCACCTGCAACCCAGACAATGGTGGCTACTGCACTCCAGAGTACCATCATATAAATGAGCCATGGACCTGCTGAGAGCACTTTATGTTGACAAATCTTCAGTCGTTAGTCGTGTGTGTTCAGCTTTTGCCACCAAAGTTCAGCATCCAGTAAACTCAGTAAACAGTAACCCACCGGGCTGAGTTGGTAGGTGCTTGTTCTTGTAAGTACAACAGCTAGCAGTGCAGCATACTACGGAATCTTACAGTATAGTTTGGTGCAGCCGTTTGGACGAGCCTTTGACATGCTGGACTCCGTGCTAGACACTTCCATAAGCTCGTTGTAGATATAGGCCAGTCTCCAGCCATTGAAAGCCACATTAGGCACCTAGCATACTTTTTAGATATAGTTCCCTATTTGTCACGTGAGGTGTCTGACATGATAGAAATGATCAGTGAGAAGCCTGGCCAATTCATTACAAATATGGTGGCATTTGGCATTGTGAATTTGATTCCTCAGATCCTTGTCCTTCAAAAAAAGGTTGTCTTTTTTGGCGTAGGCCTTTGCTTGAATGCAGTTTGCACTTTTATTTTGACTCTCTGCATAGGGTAATTTGTTGTTTGATTTAGCGATACCTGTTGTTCAGCTTCAAACTTGTGTGTTAGGATCATGTTGCTACCATCGGCCTTTCATGGAACAAAAGACTATGACAGCTGCATCCTTGCCATTTGTCCTGATGTTGACGAGAACCCCTATGCTGATTGTGATATATGCCACTCTTCGCATCAACATCTTCGAGATGAACTGGACAAGTTGCAGCAACCTGGCAGCGGAACCAAGAATCAAGAATAGGTTTTTCCTTTTTAAGGGCGGTAGGCCGGTAGAGGTAGGTTAGCTAGGTAGGTAGCTAGTATATAGCTCAAGTAGCTCGCACTATTCATTTCGTTCCTAGATTTTTTTGGCGGAAACTTAACCTTTGAGTCCTTTCAGGGGCATTGCTTCGGACAGTCAGACAGAAGGTGGGAAAGATTTGTTTCACAAGAGATACTGGGACTTCGACAACAAAAGAAAAACGGCGCAGTATCATTTATATAATAGATTCATTTGGATGAGCAAGCCACGCTGTCAATAAGACGGACATCACTTACTGTTTTCTTTGAGGCATGAATTCGATGATCTGAAGCAACTGAAAGAGGCCAAAGGCGGCAAAGCCGCGCACAGCCCAAAAACTGGAATTCAAAGCTGGCATGTCTCAAAATGGCCGTGGCGGACAGGTCAGCCGACGTCTTGTTGAGATGAGCTCTTCCCAAAACTAGGAACTGTTCATTTCTGGTGAACACATTTTAATGCGTGAAGTCTTGTCAGCAATTGCTCAAACATCCTCCGAACCAGAATCCGGTGGCCACAGACCGTTACAGACCGTTACAGACTCGTACAAGGAATGCCAGTGTCGGCAGGATGGGATTGAGGTCGAAGGTGAAACACGAAACTGCTGAATCACTATACTGCCCTGCCGAAGTGACCAACAAGGAGCTGAAACTTGTTTGCAACCCATGTGAAAGGATTTGAATTACACCGCGTCGGCTCTATTGAGAACCTATGCAGATCAGGTCTTTGCTGAGATTGCACAGATCAAATAACACTATAGTCTATAGTCATTGTATATATAGATGTCAAAAGGCAACGTATGAGGACCTCGCGACTTTGCAAAAAAACACAACTTTGGCTTTCCTTAGGCGGCCTGGCGACCCTTACCACCCCCTTCCACAACGAGCAAAAACAGAGGGCCACCTTAATTCGCACTGTTCCGTGTGGGATGGCAACAACAGTATTACTAGCGGACATGTTGTCTAGGTCCAGGTCTAAACATTCAATTCGTTGTGGAGTTGGCAACCTGCAGAGATCCCTTACAGTAGTGTTTGCAAGTTTGGGAGCCGCCTTCACCTGTTTGTGCTTTCTGAGTCATGACAGAGACAGAGGCGTATGTTGCTCTCGGAGCATGGGCAACTCATCGAATGCTTGGGCCTGGAAGGTTTCCTGGTCTGGCAGCCCAATTGGAGATGGGGACCAAGATGGACCAAGACTTGCAACATCTTCCATTGATCACTCTAGCAGTTGATAGTTATTATCAACGATGATCAACTCCTAGAAGTGTGAGAGATCCATGTGCATACTAGTAGGTTTAGGAGTTCTACAAAACTGTTTCAAGCTTCCGTCAGCCTCCATGAATGTCCATTTGTGGATTTGTAAAATATTGCTCCTGAGGCGGAGGGTCCAATTATCAAGCTCTCGAACTATGCACCTCGGCTTCAGAATGGTTGGATAGTCTCCATCGGTTTGAGTCATCGGCTGCCGGCTTTGTGCAGTAGCCAGAGCTCATGAAGCCTAAAGTTGTTTCGCCTTCAGTGCATCAATGTTCTGTGTTGGGTGGAGTTCAGGTTAGACACTATGTTGAGAGCAACAAGTAGTGCCCTCAGTTGATCCAGGTTTATCCAATGACGGAATCATTTTGGGGAGCCTGCTTTTCTTGTGCATCATTAGCCTGTAACCCTCAATGGATTCAAGCAATAGTTCAACATCAAGACATTGGTCTTAGACTTAGATCTTTGTTTGTCGTTGGATGGGATGCCGCAATCGCACTTACTGTGCAGCCTAGGATGCTGCGGTTCATGATCTTTGACCTTCAAGCATGCCAGGGATGCAGCGAGCTTATGGGAACAAGGAGAATAGCATCATCAGTTTTGAGGACATTTGTCATGTTTTGCCATTTGGATCCTGGCTGGCTTCCCCAAGGCAACGTCTCAGCTTATGCACTTCTAGCAAAGCTTGACAAGGTGCCTGGACAGTGGACTGGATAGGCGTTTTGGACTGATTTGAAGCTGCTGAAAGAGCGCATGTGCTGAGCATGGACGATTGCAAGGTGTTGAAGAACGAGGGCATTGAAGCTCTTTATAGCCGGTCACCCCGAGATTGTTAAAACGGAGATGCAGCACTTCTCAGTTCTTTTGCATCATCCATGTCAAGGCTTGATTCTATTCTTGAGCCCTTGAATGACTAGTTTTGACCGACGATCCCAGGCAGTTTAGACGCCGACATGAGCGCTGGTTTGAAATCCTTCGGAGTCCCTGCTTCAAGGATATTTGATACCATGTGTGGCACCTTGGCAACAACAAGCAAACATCACTAGGATGCGTTGTGTACCTCAATCAAGCTCATGCCACAGCAGCTTGCTTTGTCACTGTACTTTCAGTACTTTTCTTAGTTGTTACTTGTACGCAAAGTAACTAGAAGCTACTCGGTTGGAGGCCATCGCTACTAGGTTGGAGGCTATCGCTAGTAGGTTGAAATTATCGAACGCTCCAAATCTGGGGCGATTCTCAGGTGCCAACAGTTCCTTTCTGCAAGCTCTTGAGCGATGTGAGGACAATCGAGTTCAGAATTGTCCTAGGCAGTTCTCCAGCTGATGGCAGAGCAGTGCAGCACACCCGTTGTTTAAAAAGGATGAAACACGTATAAGTCAAGTACATGGTCTCTGGTATACATGCTGCTGGCAGACCGTTTCCCAGCGGTTTCCATGTTTGTGCAAATGTTGTGGTTCATGAGTAGTGCTGACCTATGTTGTTGCATCCTTACTGCAATTATGTTGTCAACATCAGCTAATTTAATTTGGGCAGTGAGGAAACACACACACACACAACACAGTGAAACCGAGACATTATTGCACACATGTTGTGTTCTATTTGTCGCAACACCCGTGTAAGGGTGTCCAGCCTGATTGCGAGGACATGCTGCTTGAGAGTATTTTGGAGGTACCATTGGACGCAGTCACAGTTGATGGCCCCCGTAAACCCTAAGTCCAGACTTCTGCCCCTCCACTAGAACTAGAACCAAGAAGCAACTCAGAGCCAGCTGTTGCGCAGGGTTGTTGCATGTTGATAGATTCCTGCTGACCGAAACAGAATCCAGGATGAGACCCGTCGCCACTTAATGCATCTCAATGCGGTTTTGCCAGGGCTTCCAGCGGCAAATCTCGCCGATTTTGGAGGTCTCAGACTTGCCAACATTGTTGATGTGACTCGGACTACACCAGGGGTCAAGTGAATTCTGCTTTTTTTGTACACATGCTTCATGGTTATATTGCACCATGGAGACTGGAACCTCTTCAGCATGTTGTCCTTTCTTTCAAGGCAACCAGAGCTCGAAGAGTTTCTGGGACTCAGCCAGGCGTGGTTTTGTGGGTGCAGTGTGGCCCAAGATAAATATACAGCTCTCAAGGTGCCATGCGACGCTCTTGCACCTGCCAGGAGCAAGCCGCAAAACTGATCAAAGCTGGGGAGATTTGCCATAAGGAAGCGAACACCCGCTTGGCTCGCCAAGGCGTGAGAAAAGCCCACGACCTCGTGAGGTGATGAGGATTGAGACTTCACCAGAACAATCTTAGGGGCAAAAGAACACCAGATTCGAGCAGTGGCCAACCCCACGATATCCCACGATTTATTACTTTCGTCATGTTTTGTTAGCATCCTACTACACCAGCATAAGGGGTTTCTACAAGTCCTGGCCATAGCTCAGATGCATTCTTTGCCAGGGTTACTGTCGATAGTAAAAAAAGTAAAAACACTGTTGGCCCGTAGACTTTGAAGGTTTTTGCCAGTTCATTGGCGCGATGTCCAAGGTCAATGTGTTGAACGATTCTTGATTATTGATTTTGCCGCGACTGTGACTATTCGGAATGAAGTTGTTCTGAAAACATGTTCAGGCACAGGCTGCACAGGTGTTTGGAGTTCAATAATCTTCAGCCTGGCAGTCATTCTTGTGATTGTCCTGATGCTGGAACAGTGTCACCTAATTCCAAGCCACACATTGTAGTTGGCCGCCTATTGCGTGCAGCAGGTATTGTGGAAGGAGAGGTGTACATTGCTGTGCCAAAGTACAGTCAGGCTTGCTGCAGTCCAACCAAAGCATGTTTGATCTTTTTGATACTGTATAACATTGTGTAACTTCCAACTTCCAATGCATCACCGATGCCATGTCCATGTCATTCCTACTTGTTCCAAGCCACAGTAAGTTGTAGTGCCGAAGCGACTCCCGTTGAATCCATTCAATCGCTCCGGTTCTCAATTGCTCTGTCAATTTTATTTTCACCCCAGGTCGTTGAGACGGTGGATGTGGGGTCTAACTCTGGCGCCGAGCAGGAAGTGAGCCTAAGCCGGCTCGGAGTCCGGAGCTCCAGTAGTGTTTCAGTTTCAAGATGAAGCCAAGCAATTTCAGGAGGACCTTTCGATCAGGTTGCCGCGATGAAAAACACATATTGAGTGTTTTATGTATTGTCAAGTGTGAAGTTCGTTTTTTTCATTTCGTGTGTCCTCAGTTTATTTGTGGCCTCGAGAGTGTCCTCTATGACGAGTCTGCGGCTAAGCTGATTATGAGCTACGAGAGCTCTGTGATCATTGAATGTCATTGAGCTTTGCTCCAAAGTCAAATCATGGGAGGTTTGGATGGTACGAGCATGGCTCAAGAATTGGAATCATTTGACTCATTTAAGGGAACCGCATTTTACGTCATTGTACACATTGACATTTATATTATGAATTCAATACGCACATGCTTCACACACACACACATGACACGTAGTTTTGCTTCAGGGCATGGACAACTGTGTATTTGGATCATATGTCTTGAGGCCTGCAAGGGCGACATGTCGGGTGTTGACCCCATCGCAGCTCTTAAAGGTGGAACCTTCACAACTGCAGAAGGTGGTGCGGGAACCGAGTGGGAACTCTGGCTGTCTGTCATGCAGCAGTTCAGGCCCGAGTGGTCCAGCACTTCCTCAGGCTTGGAAACGGAGGTTTCTCTTGACATTCGAGGTGCCTGCTAGTGCCTATGCCTTTTGAACCACCCCAAAACCAAAGGCAGTGTAGATTTCTCCTTCCCTTGTCCCTTGCTTGCAATAAGCCTCAGATATGGAAGTTATTGCTTGGTGCAACTGTCACCAAGGTTGATCAGCATGAATTGCTTGGCATGGAATTCTAATTTAATTCTAATTTGTTACTACTAGTAAGGCACTTGTTACTAGTAGCGTGGCTCTTGTTCCTAGTAGCTTCTTGTTACTATTGAACATTGGTTCTTTGCAGATTTGGATATCTCAGGTTTCGGCAGAGACTCTTCAGTGAGGGATTCGGGGAGCTGCATGATGTTTTGGTTCTGCGGCCACTGCCTGTGCAGTTGGTGATCCTGGGCTTTTGTCCACATGAGACAGCGGAGACTGAACAAGTGGAAAGGCCGCTTAAAAAGCCAGAAGACCCCAATCAGAGAGGTTCATATCCAGCCATCGTTGCTCCAATCTTATTGGTGCTTCTGCTACTGTCCATGCTGCTGTCCGTCCTCAGCATTGTCCATATTGCCATGAGCCCGTGGTCCCTTCCATCGATCATGTGCTGTGGGTCTGCCGGCTTTTCGCTGCGCTGCGGGTGCTACCGCGTCCGGTTTCCGACTTTACTGCACGTTTAGGGTGGGGCCCTGGGATGACTCTCGACTCTTGTTTGGACCTTCTTCAACAAATGGGAAACATCCGACACGAAGAGCAAACGTTACGGCGTAGAACCCTGCAGGCAGCTTGTACTCTCCCTGAGGACTCTGCCTAGCGAGTGGCTTTGCGTGTCCTTAACCCGCGACAGGTTGGGACACTCGCAGCGCTACCCCCCTATTGGTGCTTCTGCAGGCCACTTGGAAGTTGTGCAGTTATTGCACTACCATGGACTTGGTAGTGGCCTTGGTTGGTTTATAGAGGGGGTACTCCCAAGTGAACAACCGTAATAGCTTGTGGGGAAATTACCAAATCAACCCCTCTATTAATCCTAAAAGCACATCACTGAGCTGGAGATGACAAAGATGCAACAAGCAATGATGGGGAAACAGGTGTCTTTCGCAGCTCGATGGTCACTTAGAAGTTGCGCGGCTTGGAATCTTGAGGCCTCTTGGAAGTTGTGCAACTGTTCTTTCATCCTGAAGCTGACACAGATGCGACACTCACAGATGGGAGAATGCTTTTGTCCATCGCAGCTGAGCATGGCCACCTGGCGGTTGTGGACTTCTTGCTACAAGCTGAAGCTGACAACGACACGATATGCCTTGTTCAGGAGGTTTGCCCAATCCATTTAAAGGTTGAGTGTTGGAAGGTCAGAGCCAGGGACCTCGAATTACTTCAATCCTTAATGCCTTAATCCCACTGGTTCCTCCTGTGAAAACTTTGGACGGAATGGACGGAGAGCTGCTTCAAGTTCTTGTCTCTCGTGCCTCCTTTGCAGTTCTTGGACTGGTTGTAGGTGCAACATGATGCAACCTTTGGGTACAACTTAGCACTAGAATGATCTTCCAGCCTATTTCCAAGGTTTCCGAGGATCCGTCTATAGGGAATTGCCAGCAGCCCAGAGCATTTTTCAACCAGCTTGTGGCCGGAAGTAAGAACTGAGTCAGAAAAGTTCTTGGAACTATGTCAGTAAAGGTATCCAACATGGAGACTCCATCTATATTCATATTGATCGTGTGGATTGGTGCTTGAAGCTGCCTGTGCATTGTTTTCACCGAGACCTCAGAGCTTCAAATCTGCCGATGGCCTGAGGTCTGAGTCGCATTGCCACACGCCAGCTCATGTCCAAGAGACCTCCGGTCTGGGTGGTGGGAATTCTACGGAATGATTGGATGTATAACTATAACCGGCACCTTACTGGACCAAATGCCTTCAAAGGTGGCAACTGCAATGCGGAGTGTGCTTCTACATGTACCGGGAGCTCTTACCATAGTATTGATTTGATTTGACACTTCAATCCTCAGAATCTTTCAGTGCAAATCTGTAGCTCGAGTTGTTCTTTTGTTCTGTAATAACACCTCAGGATCCCGTGACAAGTGCTTTCAGATTTGTGCTAGGGAAGATGAAGACCATGGTAGGCAGAGTTCATCATCTTGACATGAGCAGGCCAGTAGTTCACCTAGTTCACCAAACGAGCACTCGTTGCAAGTTCTTGTCAAACGTTTTTGTTTTGGTTTTCTTGTCCTCCAAGGCTACTGCGTCAGAGCGATGCTTTGCAACAGGCGTTGCAACTCAGCGAGGGCGGCGGCTGGAAAGGCTGGTCTGTGGGCCTGAGAGCGTGGGCAGCTTGAGTCAAACAGCTGTTGCGTTCAGCAGTTTATTCCACCGACTGTATCCAATAGTCATAGCCGGTTCCACTACTTTAGTTACAAAAATTCTGAAATCCCAACATTGCGTAGTAACAGAGACAAAGGGATTTAATTATTGGACACTACTTCATACTCAAGAGTGGTTGGCTTTGGAAAGGCAATGCCCGCCAGCATATACTGATGTTGCGGCCAGACGGTATAACAACACACCTTGGAATGAGGGGGGGCATTGCCGACCATGTGATCTCTCTTGGCCTGCCTTTGCAGGTGGACATTTTGATCGGCACACTGCACAGAAGTGCATGAAAATGATCGACCAAGAACAGGCTTCTGGAAGTTCAGTTTTTGACTGCTCACTTTGACACATGTGGAAGCACATTACCTGGTGATTGCACATAATTCCTTTGTGTTTGTCAACATATGTTGCTTGCTTTGAAGCGGATTATCAGATGCTTATCAGTATCCAAACAGAATCTATAGCTTCTGGCTGGATGGAACAAATAATAAATGCTGCTACTTGCCAAGTCCCTAGCACCAATTCAGCCGATGCTATCATTAGATAGGAGGAGGAGGAGCAGGAGGAGGTGTGACCACATATAAATCCATATTACAAACATGTTTTGCAATCTGTATACAATCATAGTAAAAATTGTTATATATATATATTATGTATACACATGCATATGCTACTCAATGCTACTTCCCTTGGTACTCTAGTTAAGGCACAAGCCGCTGGAATTTTCCAGCACTCAACAACTCGAAGGCAGGATTATTACAAAGCCATTAGGACCAGGAGACTTTGTTGAACAGTTGCGGGCGTTGCAACAGTTCCCACTAGGATCTATATTATATAGAATTCTTTGCGAGGGCTAGTGCAGTTTCTGGCGAACCACATCTTGAAGAGGAGGATGTACAAAGCTGCTGTGACACAGCGCACCACCACTAGACCCCCTTCCAACCGGCAACAAAAGCAATCCGTGATGCATTTAAAAGACCAAGAGGCACCGAATCTCAATATGAGCCTGTTTGTTACAGGTTTTCAGGAGACTTGGTCTCATAGATAGCAATCAATGTCCTACTGCAATTGGTATGAACTATCTTGTGTGATTGAAACGCATGTCCTAAATAGAATACTACAGTTTCAATAAACAGAGATGTTCTCTTCTTACTGTATGCCTTACAGTAGGAAGAGAACATCTGTGTGTATGGCAACTGTTTCGTTCTTGAATAGAAATCGTGTCCAAATGTGATACTCATCGCTTGTAGGAGGCCTTTATCCTTTTCCATCCTTTTCCTCAATGCAATTTGTGCCGTGTTCATTGTTGTCAAAGAACATCATCATGCTCAGTTGGCTTAAGCAACTTTTGCCCAATACAATCTTCTGAATTTATGCAATTTCTTATGTGGCAACGAAAGTTTGCTACTCCTTGCAATGAGTTAACCCCTCTGCATCACCCAACAAAAATCAAACCAAGGACTTTTCTAAATTGAACAGTCCAGAACCTTTGAGAATAGCCATGAAGGCAATCCAAATCAGTCACAACTTGACAGCTCAAAAAGACTTCAAAAGACCAATCCAAGCCAACGAAACTTTGACAGAAGAAATTGTCCATGCATCCAGTTTCATGTGGATTGATTTTATGCAAAGGTATGGACCAGGCATGCTTTTGATTGATTAAACTAGTGGCAATGCTTTGCGAGAGGCATATTCCTCCCTGATAGTTGCGCAAAGTACAGTACTTCAAGTTCCCTAAAGTATGGGTACCATGGTAACATACAGTTTCATATATACAATATATATATATATATGTGCACATAGTTTGTTTTGTTGTTTTGCAATCCATACCAAGGACAGATTACAGTGACATGTTCCACTGAGAACCATGCCTTCCTTGCAGGGCGATTGCGAAGAAAGCAAACAGATGTCACCAAATCTTGGCATCTTGGCAATGCTCTTCTGCGATTCTTCAAGAAGACTTATCGGGTGGTTCACTTAAGACAAGTTATTTTTGCAAAGAAGATATCGGATAGGATAGGTGAGAGTAATTTTTTGCAAGCCTTTATTTATGTTATTTTTGTGGTATTTGGATGTATTTAGAATGCGCTTACATAGAGTTACGTTTGGCCTTTCAGCTTCCAGGCACGCTAAGCTCTCCAACTGTGATTCGGAGGCGAAGGTGCACCAGTCCGAGGGGGGTTCAGGTGCTTCAGATGCGGGATCGAGTGTAGGACGAGACCATCGATTAGGTTACTGTAATTATGGGAGTATGCCAGTCTTGTTCAAAACATATCCTTGGCTTCTTGCTTCTCATGGATCAAAAAGAGTCAAAGAGCATGCAACAAAGCAGATAAAGATAGCTTGAGCCCCTCTACTTGGATTTATCAACTTTGCCACTTTCCCACCTCCTTGACTTGCAAACCAAGATGCCCGGACAAGGCCCTTGTCGCCTAAAGGGAGAGTCTTCAGAGCCAGCACCATCGAGAACTGGTCGCTGAATTGGTCCGGCTTGCTACATTTGCTCCTCGAATCAGTCGAGTAGTTGGACTGCTCAAGCCGATTCGAGCTGTAGAGTTATCAGTTTCTCGATCCGTGTATTTTCCGGCGTCAGTTCGCTTGTCCAACTTGCTACATGTAGCCTGTCAATGGTGCGCAATAGAGTCTCGTAGTCTAATGTCCAGCCAGGGCTGGAGAAATTGTTACATTCCTTGCAAAAGCATCCAAATGCAAGTTCTGCAATTACTGAAATCACCTCCATCAATTCTCCTGCCTCTTTGTCTTGTATCTTGTTCACCATTTGCACTCAGTTTGACACGGTTTGGAACCGATGAAGTGTGATCAGGAGCCCTTTAGTAGCGTCCTTGCTCCTAGTAGATCCTAGTAGTACGGCCAGGAGCCCCTAGAAGCGTTCTTGTTCCTAGTAGCGATGCCAGGAGCCCCTAGTAGCACCATTCCTCCTTGCCACACAAGGTAGAATTATTCTGCAGCCAATGTTTATCATGTGTGTTTCTTTGTGCTTGAGCCTCGTGTCGGAGATTGAATGTGATGATGGTGATTTTTGCAGAACCAACAATACAATAACAAGTATATATGTGGAAATTGGATCATATGGAAGTTTGTTCAATGTCTGTGCATGTTTGAAGATGCTGCAGGGCTTGTTTGTTAGGGCGCCACTACCTGCATCCACTGGCTTGCTTTTGACTCTCACCCTCACATGACAGGTTGGAGAATCGCGAGAACCGCCAGTCCATGTGATTAGATCCTTCCAAGCTTCCTTTTCAGCTGGGGCATGCCTTTTAATCTACCCCATCTCGGTGAATGTGAAACACTGTTATGTGCAAGGCCTGAACAATCAAAGTGGTTACTGTGCCTTGGGTACCTTCTTGAGCCAGGTCGATTTAGTCCGATTGTTTGCACCAGAATCTTGGTGCTGCTTCGCCAAAGCTGGAAGCAAAGAAAAGGCTGAGGTTTCTTTGAGACATGTGAAACCAGCACAGCAATAAACCAGCTGGGCTCTGCCCAGCTGGGTTCTGCCCTTTGGAGCACACTGAAGTTGCTACAACGATCCACCTGATACATGGGAATAGGCCTGGGAGTATTGAAGTCCTTTCGGCTCAGTTGATCCGCGCTTTATAGGAGATCATGGCATTAGTTTCCGGCACCTCAGCTCAAGGGCCTGTTGACATGTCGTGGCATTGGATATCCTCAATCTAAAACACCTATATAATTTGTCTCAGTTGGTTCGGGGAAGGCCACTGATGAACTAGGCACGTGGCTGAGCAATGCAAGCAAAGTGTCCAACTACGTGGGCGGATGAAGCTCTGCGCCAACGCAAATACATGGTGTTTCGACTATCTCCGCTGGCGAACTAATTTTTGTTATTGAATCTTTCTTCAGCAGTCAATGTGGTTAGGTATAAAACTGGGGTCAACGAATCAATACACATGATAACATGATGTTCAGTGCGCCAAGAGGTGTTCAAAAGGACCAAAGTCAAAAGTAATGCACAAAAGGGTGGAAGAAATGCACCGATGCAATCACATGTGTAGTTGTATGTGACCAATGCGGTTGGAATTTGCGCACAGATTCTGAGGATTGACAGGACCACAACACTGCAAGATGTCTATGGGTTGCACTTTGAGCCAGGCAAGCATCATGATAAAACATCATTGCATTTGAACATCGCATTTGTTTACACAGAGGTGTGATGCACAGGTTTGCATTGATTTGTTATATCCTGCTTGGTTCATTCAGTTCCCACTGTTGAGTTGCTTGTTTAACGCCCTGGGCGAATCTTGCTGTTTGTTGCCTTTCAAGGTGGATGTCCCGGAAGATGCAAGGAAGCCAAGCTTGCCAATGGCATCAAAAGATCAAACATTTGCTGGAGTCTTTTGCTGCCTCATATTGGGAGCTGAGGCTGCAGACCAGTTGCGGGTCGTTCTCAAGCTTCTCACAGAACCTTGCCGCACGGGTCAAGTAGAAAAGGCTTTGCAGTTTGTTTCTGATGGTGTGGCCAATTTAGCCCTAGCCAATTCTGTTTGGACTTGCCCAGGAGCACGCGGTGAGCGACAAGAACGGTGCAACCGCAACCCACCAGGCCGGGAGTAAAGATTTTCTCCTGAGGCAAACATAGAGCTTTCAGATGGTGCGAACGAACAAGAGGAGTGAGGAAGTGATGATGTTCCCTCTTCGGTCACCACCTTCCCAAGTCATCCTTTTGGAATGGCAGGTGTTGAACGGCTACAACGTGTGTGGGAGCGGTCAACTTAGCGGAGTTAAACATTTAGCTCCGAGACCGAATCCTGTTTAAAGTTAAAGGGTACCAGGATGTACCAAGCCATATGTTCTTCGCATTTATATAAGTTTGATGCGTTTCATGCGGGTGTAAGCAAGGTATTGGCGGCCAGAAGAAAGGCGGCGGTGCCGGTGTTTCGACATGTGTCGACAGCGTATGACGAAGCAAAACTAAGAACCTTGTGGAGCCCCAGACCTGAGCGGGTGCGTTTGACATCTACACAGTCCGACTTTCACGCAGAAGCGTCACTTTTTGTTTCGCCTGTAGGCCCAACCCTGTTTGCAATCAATGATGAGGGTGCGGTGGAGGACTTGCACAAGTTGCTTGGATGCCCTGAGAAGAAGACTTTCTTGACAACCTGTTCTCAATCCTTTCTAGAACACCAGAAAGGAGTTGAATGTAGTCCAATAGTTCAATAGTTGAACGGCATAGCTCCAGAAGCACGGTATTCAGATACTGCTTTCATGAAGGCCATTGCTTTCTTAAGGTACTGCTAGCTAGGAAGAAGCAATCCTTTTCAGAAGGAATCCTCAGTTCTTGTACAAAAGTATCTGTAAAAACTGTTGATGCCAAGACAGTCTGCCTGCAAATTGTAAGCCGTATCTCAGCGATGGAATCATCCCAATCTCCACTCTGGACAGGTTTATTGCACAGATGTACCAGCAGGGATATCCTTTGAATCTAGGCGAGGAATCTCCTTTCCTCCATGGGTTTACGTGGGCTATGCATTGATTTGCTTCCTGTGCACAATATCGAACTTCTGTGTAGCAAGCAAGCTGTTGCAAGTATATATATATATATATCTTGACACTCTTCATTCCTTCGTGTTATTTGGTTGCACAAGTGCCAAGCGGCCAACAGCTTGAAGCACACTCAATAGACCCTCAGCTAGTCAGCGGCACTTGAAGAACCTCAACTCATCATGTGTTGAAGTATTTGCTTAGTTCAATCGTCATCCATGTGATACCCTGAGCGGCAAACACTACCCTCGAAGTTGAACAGACACTGCGCTCAGACCTTGACAGTGTAGGTGATCATGTTTGGGCCGTACAAGTGCTCTGATAGAGCATCAAACTTTGATGCCACTTCGCTCCAGGCATTTGTCTATTTCACATGGTCATGCGTCGCATATTTGTTTGTCTCACGTGATAGAGAAAAAGACGGGCACTGATAAGTTGATTCTTTTTGTACTCGTGGGAGCTGAAACATACGTTCCCGAAAACGACAAGTTGTAGAGATTGACCATGGAGCAGAGCTGTTGGAAGGTTACTGCAGCCATCTCGAGCCAACCACACTGCTCGTACGCCAGGCGAGAGGCTCACGGAAAAATTCACCCTATTTCAGGACCTGGAAAGACACACTTTCTCCATGTTTCTCCGAATTCCATGAATTGAGAGGCATCAGTTCTAGCACCTTGCAGGACATTGTGGTCCGTGGCAACCGGACAAACACACTGAACCCGGAGGCCGGATACTCAGTGCAATTCTGCGAGTGAGTTCTTTGGCCAACTTTGGGCAACTTGTTCCCCAACCTAGGCTTTCAATAGCTTTGTTTTTTTGCGAGGGAGGTCTAGCCAAGATCGAGCCACGTGCTTGCATCTTGCACATGTTTCTTTGGTTTACATTGAAAGGATGTTGTGACAGACTGCGCACAGTGTGAGTAGTGTGGATTCGGATGGATATGATTGGTATGGTTGCAGCATGTTCCAGCGATCCTCAGGCTAAGTAAGAGCAGCACTTCTTCAGCTGTAGAACATGCTAGATACACACCACTCTTTAAGTGTTCATGTGTACAACTATAGTAATTACTGTAGTTGGCGCTACGGTGCGCTTTCCAGTGACAATCAACGTCGACTTTGTTCTACTGCTGCTCTGGAAAATTGGCGGCATAATAAGGACTTGGTGGGACCGGAGAGCAAACTTCTGGAGATCATAGGACCTCACTCAAATCGGGGTTCTTCAAACATGTCCAAGGGTTTAACCTACGGTTTAACTTACTTGAAACACAGTATCACGCCCTTTTGTACCAATTACTCATTTGTTCTCTGGATTAGGTTGTTGCAAGTTAAGGAAAAGTCATCAGCCCTTGTTATTTTCCTCCCATTCTTTGAACGGTCTTTGCTTGGGAAGATCCATGCGTTGTTCAGCCTTAAGACATTCTACCTTAGCAGCCTTAGACAAGTCCAGCAAGAACTCGATGTTGCAGTTGGTCGTTCTTTAAGCCTGGTTTGATCATTTACTTTTCCCAGCCCCTTGGGTTGCCTCCGGGGCTTTGCATTTAATGTTTCCTTTGCAAGTGCAGTAAATTAGAACGAGCGCACCTTCTGCAGAGGTGCACTAAATAGGCTGTTTGGAGCATAAAGCATCGTCAAGCGATATAACGCAGTTTCCATGAAACTGGTCCGTATTGCAACTCCGTCCGTTCGTTCGTTTATCGATGTGCGTAACGCAACGCCGTTGCTGTGGGCCGAATGCAGGAAGAACTATGGTGGAGCTGTTCCCAACCGTTGAATCTTTTGACTTGTTCGTGCTCGCGGGATCCGGGCAAAGCGGCTGGAGTCTAAGGATCGAAGTTCGGCAATGGAGCAGAATGGAGCAGAAGCTCATCTCCAAATCGGATTAGCTTAATTAGTCCTTTGGGCACCATGTCTTGCGGTTGAAGACGGTCTCAAGTCTGCATTTTGAAGACTTGTACAGCTGTACCAGCTGAGTAAGCTGGAATCAAAAATCTAGTTTTGGGGTCATCCTTCCCCTGGTTGAACTCAAGGTTGATCCTTCGGTCCTTCAGCATGTTTAAATCGGGCATGTGCAGCTACCAAAAGTCAAGCTGTGCAGAGGGTCCCGTTGAATGCACTAAGAAGTTTCTGGCGCGATGGAAACTTCAATCCGATTGGTATGGTCTGTACCCCAGCAAGCAGCTGCAGCTGCTTCATTCAAAGGCATGGTCCATGGTGATCAATATTTGTCATCATCCGTCTAAGTTATGCAGCATGGAAACTTCGTACTGCAAGGAAGGATGTTGTGGTGGACCAGAAGCGGGCTCTTTCAATTCTAGATCTGTTGGTGCTCGGGTGCCCAGTTTGTCTATGGAATGTGTTTCTGCAAACAAAAACTGAACACATTGGGTGAATAGTGTTTTCCAAGCGATTGCTTGAGTGATAGCTTTGCGCTGACACTGACTTGAAGCATCCCCGTGTGCTGACAATTGCTGTTTTGGACCTGTTTGCCTTTGCATGCACCCCTGCTACGGCTCACGTGCGCCTCTCTAGTTTGATTGTTTGTCTCGTATTCTGCAGAGTCAAATTCATTTTTATACCATCCTCACCAGTTCCTTTTTGGTCACTTATTTCATTCTGGGTATGTTTTATTTGTCATTTGGTCGTACTGACATGTGATGAAACCCGCTAGGCATGCCGATTGCTTGCATTGAGTCTTTACCGGAAATGCTTGTAGCAAAACTGAAGCCGTGCGCGGATACCCTGAATTTGTGCCTCCGTTTGCCCACGTTGCAATGGAAGTGTGGTAAGCATTTCTCACTGAAGTTGCAACCACTGATCACCCAAACACTTGGATTTTGGATTCAGTGAGGTCGAAGATACAGAACTCTGATTGCCCAGAATCTTGGCATCGAAGTTCACTTTTCTATGGCAAGGCAACAAGAAAATGCACATCATTGATTTCCACGATTGCATTACACATTTTGCCCACGGTCCACAAATTGAACAAAAGGATCCTAGAAATGAAGAAAGAACTGCGTTTGGGAGGGTTGTGGGAATGCCAGAACACACTGGACTCAAAGGGTTGCGCTCGGTTTTGTTGATTCACGTGTGGTCGCAGCCAACAATGTTCCATGCATATGTGTATAACTATATACACATGTTAAAGTTTATGAAAGAGTTAAGCCATGTTGGAATCCGGAAAACAGGAGTCGAATGTTTTTGGCACGAGGTGGTTTAATCCTTCTTTTCTAGCAAGAGAAGAGCAGAAATGCTAGGAAAGGAGTGCTGATGGGAGCCTGGGGTTGTAGAGGAGAGCAAGAGGGCGAAGATTCGAAGTTTTAAAATTGTGGGAAGATGGAGTCCCTTTGAACTTCGTGTGATTGCAGAAACATGTCACAAATAGTCAAGGTGGCTGATTGTTGGCAAGGAAGACCTCAAAATAAGGAATGTAGGAGTTGAGTTCAAATTCATTGATTATATATTAATATTTGTTTTAAATATAGTTATGACAGCATTTGGACGCATATAGGTTCATGGCAGCTGAAATTATGTCCAGCTACAATCAGCTACAGTTTGATGCATACAGAGATGTGATTCCCCAAAACACGAATTTCCCGCTAATTCACAGCCATGCTGCTGCCCGCGGCGTGTAAATCCTGCGCATGTAGCAGCAATAGAGCCAAAGCTTGGAGATATGGAGGTGGTTTAAATAAGTGTTGTACAGCTGCTCGATGGGCGTAGCTGCATGATGCTAGTATGATGGGTTTCCACTAAACTGGATTTGCCTGGCCTGAGATTGAGGAAGTGAGATTGCTGGAGCAAAAGGCTAAGGGATACAGTGCAGCACCTTGGCAGGCTTTATGGTTTACGATGTTTTATGCCTTTCATGGTTCTTCTGGACGCATCTTTTTCATTCACGGACACAGATTAAGTTAGGGATCAAGTGTGACTGCCTTGGACCCAAAAGAACTCAGGAAGAACGCAGTGCCTACGTAGTCTTTGTAAGCTCTGTGGGACCAGTCAGCCACGAGTCTCCAGCTTTCAGCTGGCATGATCCCTTTGCGCTTCCAGAGCCCATTCCTAGGGTCAGAGCCCTAAAGGATGGCCCCAGTGCATGTTTGGCACTCGATTCTGTTAGGATATGTTTCTGGATTCTCGTCATGAACGTAGTACGTCCTTTTCTCCTTTGGTAGTGTGCATAATTCGGACGCCATACAACTTGGCCAGGGCGATTCGATTGACCCAGGCTTGGATCGATCGATTCTCTCCAAAGCCCTGCAGCTAGACTCCTGAGGCAAATGAGTGGAGAGCATGCTTCCGCGACTTTGCCTACAAGCAGAAGCCCCAGATGCCCCAGGCATTCCAGAGCTACACGGATTGACTTATTTTGCCTTTTGGTCAATTGAGTATTCCTGGTCAACCAGTGTCAGGCCTTAAAGCAAATCTTGCCATGTTGAATCGAACCTACCGAGGTCAGATCAACCAGTTCGAATGGTCTTCAACGACTCCGTGAGCCAGGCTGCTCCTTTGTTCAGGTGCGTGCCAGACATGTGGGAGACCTGGTGTCAGTGCAGTGTGCAGTAATCTGAAAGGCATGGGAGCAGTGCATTGAAGCAAGCCGTAAAACAGCAAGCATGCATGAAACCATGAATTCACATCCCACCCCTGCAAAGACCTGGACTCACGCAGGCCAGAAAAGCGGCCCTTGGATCTTTTCTGCATCTATGAGCTCCGTGGTGGAAATGAGTGGAAACACGCCCCGACTCCTATGATTCGTACATAAACAAAGGGCTGAAAGGCCCTTGGCTTTTTGACAAAGTTACAGTCAATGCCCATTTTGTCAGCCTGAGTGCTAAAGAGGATCACCTTTGTACACCTTTGTTGTCTTCTCCCAACAAGAATGAATTGGACATACTGATTGTGTCAGAATCAACAAGAGCACATAGTTCGCTTCTATCATCTATCGCTGCGAGTCCTAACCTTTGACATTTGCATACCAAAGTATGAGTGCACCTGCAGCGTATAGAGTAAAACAATGGCGGTAAGGAGCACTAGGGTCCTGGTGGTTGGAACAATATTGAGGCAGCCACACTAGCATAGCATGACATAGTGATTGGACCGCATGTTTTGGTCGGGCTGGACTATTGCACCTGGACTGCGCCAAGGCTTACACACAACCAAGGCATCCTGGACCAAAGCTTAGCGCAGTCTCAGGTGGAATATTTGATGATTCTGGCATATCTTTCCCATGTGTTCAAGCGTGATGAGTCGTCCACCTTTCAGGATGAGATCAAGGTCTTTTCTCGTGGCATGGAAGTCTCAAGTCTTGACCCGAGCCAACTCACTTTACCTTTGTCGATGGTTTGTTGCCTCGGCTGTTCCAGGCCCGTGTCAAGAATTTCGCCAAGGAGTTAGAAGAGTTGAATAGAATTGACGTCTTCCCTGATCACCTCCTTCCAATTTCCCATCATCCCTATTTCACAGATTCCACATTGGACATGTTGTTGAGCAAGTGATCAATCTTTTGCAATCACAGACTCAGTGTGTGGGCGGGGGGGGCAGACACCACCCCATGCTGCCACATAGGCTTCATTTGGAACATGAATTTGTTCATTGGTGGATCATAAAAGAACCTTTTTGCAAAGTGTTGCCTGCAGGGATACATTCCTTTGCATTTTGTTTTGTTCATTGCAAGGTGAAGACTACCAAACCTTGTTGAAGTGCACTTCCATCAGGCAGTCGAGTCGGGGAGGGATCTTGACACGCGATCAAGTTCTATGTACTGTGTTTGATCTGTAGCTGCTCGGGTCCAGAGTCTAGCGGGGGTGATCCACTTGCTGTTGTATACCCCGTTTGGACTTCCATTGTTGACTGATTTTTGAACCACAGCCCCAAATTCTCGAGACGGCAGGTTTGCCCCAACAGACCATGGAAAATGCCATTTGAAGCTGCTACATGTTTATTGTTTTTTGCAAATCTACAGAACTTCATGTGGCTCCATGTTCAGCAAATGCTTCTAAGCTTAACAGACCTGCTCAAAGATATTCTTACTTGTAACTTTTACTACCATATGATTCATATGATACCATATTTATAATCATTTTCCCGTCCTGATGTGAGTTTGCATGCGCTGAGCTAATTTCACCACCAGTGACTAGGCTGGTGAAGTGGGTCTCCCTTTTGCTTCACAAGTTGATGTCCACCGACCACTTTTGTTTGGGGAGTCTTCCGGTCATTTCAGTGTCGCTGGTACCTGTTTGGGGAGTCTTCCGGTCATTTCAGTGTCGCTGGTACCGAGGTACCCAAACAAAAATATAGCAAAAAATCCTGCCCTGTTTGAATCATTTCACAGAATCAACATCCAAATAATAGTCTTCCGGACTTTCAGTATGAGACAAGGCTCGGGAACCAAGCGACATGATCCTGTCGTCAGAAGTTGGGGGTTGAGCACGAGCGCACACTCATCGGAACCTGCTGAACGGAGTAGTTCTTCAACACCGAGCAGGCTGATTTTGAAGTATCATACAGCTTCAAAGAGTTTGCCAGTAGTTTATTTGTCTCAGAACGAGGGGACCGCCATTGCCTAGGTGTTTTGCTTGTTTCTCAAAGTCGCTCCGACCAAGGCAAATCGGTTGGGTCCTTATTGCATGCCTTTGCATTCGCCTTTCCATTGCGCCTGGCTAGTGTTTGATCGCACTACAGCGCTTCATGACCAAGCAGACCACTGCTGAGGAAAAGAACTCACAGAGTATCAACAGCCCAGGAGGCGTGGCGTTTATCCAAAGAGCTTCATATTGTTGATTTCTCAGAGCTGTCCTGGTCCTGACCTCAACAGCACTTTTTTCTGCAGGTCTCATGGCGGCAACTCTGGGGGAAGAGTCCGTGTGCCTTGAACTGAACTAATGTTCTTTGCATTTGAGGCTTAGCCAACAGGCCTTGATCACTGCATTTTCTGTGTAATGAATCGAAATCCGAGCTTTTCTGGTATAGTTTGCATTAGGCATGCATTAGGAATATGAAGAGCCAGTTCATGATAGACGTAGCAAAAACGGAACATTTTTCGTGGCGGCCAAGATTCGCACCCGCAATGGCAGTTGATGGCCATCGCAGGCCATTTGGAGCCTGGTGGCTTTGGTATATAGTTTGTCAAGATTCGGTGCCAAAAAATCGCAGAATATCTTCAGACTAAAGTGACTAAAGGTTGCTTTAGGTGGTCAAGATGTGGTGGTGCGGGGGCAACAAAGCTTGAATGAATGAGACATAAAATCCATGGAGCCCATGGCCTGCCTTGTGATGTTGGAAAGATGCAGTCGGCTGCATGTTTGCAACTCGAAAGTTGGTACTGTACTAAATCATAAGAGCATATAAGAGCTAAATCTTTCCAAGGGCCATAAAGAGCTCTCATTCTTGGAAAGACATCAACTGGGCCTGCAAAGCCAGAAGACTGAGTGGCTGAAGAGTCATGTCCTGCATCGTTCAGGAATGCGCGACGAGCTACTTATTGGATGACTGAGGGGAATGTTCGTCCATCTCAGCTTCGAACTGTACAGCTTGCCTACCTAGGCGGCAACAAGCTGCTTGTACAGACCAAGGTTGGCCACTGCGGAGTTGATCGGTTCATTGGTGTGTCCAAGAGCCAGGAGCAACCAGATCAAACTTCATTCTGTGCCTAGAACAGCTCAGAATGAGAGCATACGAAAAAGCCAAACGGGGAATTGAATCGGACACTTCGCCCTCCAGTGAAACGGTTATGTGTTCGATCACTTGGTTAGTGCGGCCTTGCAGCTGTATCTTGGGACATCCGGTCGCCTGGAGTGAGTAGCAGTCGAACTCATCGAGGATGGCAGGCGAACTCATCGATCTTGGGTTTTGTGCAGTCAAAAGCTGCCGTTGCCATTTCATTACAAGGAGGATGGTTTTGGGGTTCATTGTGGTCTGCGGGGGGCATGGCCACAAACAGTGACTTGGCATATCTTGTTAAGTGCATACGCTATTTAATGTTGAAGCTTCATGACAAGACACGAAGCCATTGAACACCTGGGGAAGGTTTTCGCTTCACCACTCAGTGCTATTTGAACATTCTCATTGGGCACAAGAACTGCATGACAACGACTTGTGGTCATCGTAAGATAGGGAGATTGTGTAAGGAAGGTGTCGGCGTGTCGGTTGTAAGTCATAATCTTCTAATAGCTCAATATGCATTAGCAAGAAGCTACTATATAGGTGGAGGCCATCGCTAGTAGGTTGGAGGCCATTACTAGTAACAAGAAGCTCCTGGTAACAAGAATACATCTTAGCACATCCAAGGCCACGATCTTCTTAGCAAAGTCAAGCAGAGATTTCCGCAGGCCCGGGGGCTCAACGGACGAGAGACACTGGCTCCCAAACGCAGGAGGTCCTGGTGAGGGTAAAAAATACCGTGAAAGAAAAGCTTTTTTTAAATGAAGGTTTATACGCATTGAAGCTGGTTCCATAGTGAAGCTATAGAAGTATACACTTTAAGTAATATAATATAAGTAATTACATGTAGTGGTAAGTAATTACATGTTGTCGTACTACTTACTCGTTCTGGGTAGGCAAGCAGGCGAGAAGAAGTAGTTTAGAGCTTCCATGAGTTTCTGATGTAAAACGAATCTACTCATTTCCACAAATACATAAGTGTTTGTCCTTATAATGACTTTAGACATTGTTTTTCTCCAAAACGCACATGATGCTTTCAAGGTAGGGGAAGTAATGGTAACTGCCTTTTCAGGCTTAAACTCTTGCTTCCAGTTGAAAACTAGCAGCAATAGGTCAGGTTTGAAATTGAAAACTCCCAAAGACAAAATCCATCAGATTTTCAAATCTGTTCAGTCTTATTCACATCAGTCTTGTGATGTTCAATTCACAATGGATTAATGACCCAAGCAGCTTGTTTTCTTTGCAGGCTTTGACGCTGAAGTGCACTGTGATTGGTGAGTCCTGTACCTTTTTCTCCTATTCAGTTGATTCGACTGTTGGCCTTTAGGTCAAATTCCCTGCAGATGCTATGAGCTGAGTTTTTCTATACTGTGATCAGTCAGTTGTATACGTATTATGTATACGTGTTGGTCTTATCTAATCTAGGTGTTTTTGGAGGTCGTTTGGCGTTGGTTCAAAGCGTTGTTAGAACGGGCTGATCGCATTTGATGAATGCGTCCATCTATGTCATGCTCGTCTCACTCTATGTGCAGAGGAAATGCTTCACAAACTTCATCAGACCTCAGGCTGCCGAAACCTTGGAACGTGTCCAGAAGTTCCTCACAGATCTTTGGCATTGCATTGGGCTGACAGCACACCTTTACATGCTCTTCGTTGCCACACATGCCAAGAAATAAGCGGACCTCCAAGAGTGTTCTCAAACGTGCTTTAGGTCCAGCGTAATCGGTTCATTGGTCACTCCCTCGCCTTGCTTGGAGTTGTCCTTACCAAAGTCAGAACTGCCGTGTCACAGGGTTGAGGGGACGACCCAAAAACTGAGCGGCAAATTTGACTTGGAATGTTCAAAGGAAGCTAGTGAAGATGGGAAAAGCAATGGAATTGAAGCTTCAAAACCTGCATAAATCTTCCGGATTCGTTTGGATCCGTTTGGCCCAGGAAAACCTGGTGCAGATTCAGAATGATGCAACACACCAGGCTTGGCCTAGTGGCCTCGCAGTTGATTCACTTCGAGAGATTGCTTAGGCCTTGGCTGACAAGCATATTATTTCACCCACTCATCCAATGATGCCAAACGGCTGCCAACCTTTTGTATGCCACTCAGGCAACTGGTACAGAGGGGCTGGGTCCTGTTTGTTTCCTGCCTAATCAATTGAACATAATTTTATTGAAAAGGTTGACAAAAGGTGTTTGTCAAACTTAAAGATGCTTAACGTTCTGATTTGTTTGGCAAATTTAAGACCCGACTGTTTTGGTATTACTTAGAACGTAGCAGTCGCTGATATTCGGGCCCAAGTAGAGATGGCGGTGCTGCAGCAAGACTGCTAAAATATGCTAAAATGCAGAGCTAACGGATCGAGTGAAATGTGCCACTCCAAAGGCTTTATACGAAGTACTTCAGAGAGGCAGAGAGGTGAGGTTGGCAATCTACTAGTAGCTTGAGACACCTCAAGATGTTGCACATGCTTTTACATTGGCCAGGTCTTAGGCAACTATGCTGACTGGTGGGAAAGCTGGGTCCCAAGTTATTGAGTAAGGCAGAGTGTTTTGTAATGCAGACTTCGAAGGTTGCATTCCTGAACATTTCTCCAAGGCCAGACAAAAGACAAACAAGGCACTTTGTGCCAGTTCCGCTGGATGAATTCA